TAAAGGGTGATGAGAGGATCACTTATGATGTTTAAAGGTGTTAAGAGGAATGGGATTTATATTGCTACAACTAGTGCTGTAGTTAGTGAGATTGCTGAGTCTTCCAACACTGAGCTAGATGCAATTTTAAAGTGGCATAAGAGACTAGCTCATGTTGGAGAAAAGGGCCTGCATATCCTATATAAGAAAGGGGTGTTTGGGAAGGATTTTATTTCTAGAGTTCCTTTTTGTGAGAATTGTACCTTAGGAAAATAGCATAGGTTGCACTTCAACACTGGGAAGCATAAATCTACCTCTATCCTTGAGTATATTCACTCAGATTTATGGGGGCCTTCCCCTACCAGCACTCAAGGTGGAAATAGGTATTTTCTTTCTTTGATTGATGACTGTTCTAGGAAGGTTTGGGTTTATTTGTTGAAACACAAATCTGAGACTTTTGGGAAGTTTAGAGCCTGGAAATTGGTAGTTGAGAATCAGACTGGGAAGAAAATTAGAAATCTTAGGACTGACAATGGCCTTGAGTTTTGCAATACTGAGTTTGATGTTTTCTGTACTGAGAATGGTATTAGGAGACATAAAATAGCTCCTTATACCCCTCAGCAGAATGGGTGGCTGAGAGGATGAATAGGACTTTGCTAGAAAAAGTGAGGTGCATGCTTGTGGGATCAGGTGCGCCTAAGACCCTTTGGGGGAAAGCCTTGATGACAGCCACTTACATTGTTAATAGAACCCCTTCTAGTGCTCTTGATGATAAGACACCTGAAGAGCAATGGACTGGTACTATTCCTGATTATACACAGTTGAGAGTTTTTGGGTGTGCTGCCTATTCTCACCAGAATTTAGGAAAATTAGAACCTAGGGCCCAGAAATGTGTTTTCTTGGGTTATCCTGATGGGGTGAAGGGTTATAGGCTGTGGAATAGGGATTCTAGTGGTTTTAAGATTATCACTAGTAGGGATGTTACCTTTGATGAGCTGAACATGCCCTGTTTAAAAAGAAAAGAGTCTGATAAGATTTTAGAAGGGTTAGAAAGTGATAGGACCAAGCTGCAGGTGGAGCTTGGTGTGCCTGCTCAACCTGTTGATGTTGAACAGGTTGAGACAGAGGCTGGAAATGATGTTTTAGGTGATGACATTGTAGAAACTAAAGTTCAGGATGTTGTAGAAGAGCAAGATGTTGAGGGTAGTGATTATCAATTGACTAGAGATAGAGTCAGGAGAGAGATTAGAGAACCTGTTAGGTATAGAGATTACCTGACCTTAGCATTATGCTGTTATCAGGATTTGGCCTATAGGGAGCCTAAATCCTATGAAGAGGCTATGTCTAGTAAGCAATCTAAGGAATGGCAGATTGTTATGGATGATGAAATGGACTCCTTGACTAAGAATGGGACTTGGTTGTTAGTTCCCAGACCTCCAAGTAAATCCTTTGTTGATTGCAAGTGGATTTTTAGTATTAAGGAGGGTAACACTGATAAGGTGCCTATTAGATTTAAGGCTAGACTTGTGGCTAAGGGATTTACTCAAAAGGAAGGTCTTGACTACAATGAGATTTTTTTTTCTCTTGTGATTAAGTATACTACCATTAGAGTTATGTTAGCTCTTGTTGCTCATTATAATCTTGACCTTGAACAAATGGATGTAAAAAGTGTTTTTTTGCATGGTGATCTTGATGAAGTGATTTATATGAAGCAACCTGTTGGCTATATTGATAAATCTAAATTTGATCATGTTTGTTTGTTAAAAAGATCCTTATATGGTTTGAAGCAATCTCTAAGACAATGTTACATAAGGTTTGATACTTATGTTTCTTCTGTTGGTTTTCTTAGAAGTGAATTTGACCATTATTTGTATTTTAAAAGAGATGATAAATATGCCATTATTGCTTTTATACTCTTGTATGTGGATGATATTCTTCTAATTGGACATAATATGTATGTCATCAATGAAATTAAAAGATCTTTGAATGCTAAATTTGAAATGAAAGATCTTGGGCATGGAAATATCTAGGAAAAGACATGATAGAATTCTGATTTTGAAACAAACTACATACATTGATAAATTGATTGCTAGATTTGCTATGCTTGATTCAAAATCTGTGTCTTTACCTCTTGCTAGCCATTTTAAATTGAGTAGAGACCAATGTCCTGTTAATGAATCTGATATAAAGCAAACGGAAAAGATACGTTATGCTAATGCTGTAGGTTCTGTGATGTATACCATGGTTTATACTAGACCTGATGTGACTCATGCTATTAGTACACTTAGTAGATTCATGGCTAATCCAGGTTTAGAACATTAGACTGCTTTAAAATAGTTATTAAGGTATTTGAAAGGTTCTTCACAGTAAGGATTGTGTTTTAATGCCTGCAATGATGGTGTAGTACTTAAAGGTTTTACTGATTCTGACTTTGTTGGAAATATTGATAATAGAAAGTCAAGTACTGCCTATGTATTTACTCTGTGTGGAACATGTATAAGTTGGAAATCACAGTTACAACCTGTTGTTGCTTTGTCTACCACTGAGGCAGAATATGTGGCTGTAACTGAGGCCATAAAGGAAGCTTTATGGCTGAAAGGTTTACTTTCTGAAATCGGTGAGTTATCTAATCCTGTTGCATTATATTCTGACAGTCAAAGTGCTATACATTTATGCAAAAATCCAATTTTTCATGAAAGAACTAAACATATTAATGTTAAGTTGCATTTTATAAGAGATATTGTTGCTAAAAATGTCTTGTTACTTGAAAAAATTGCTACCCAATTTAATCTTGCTGATATGGGTACAAAGGTATGGGAAGCCTAGCTTCTAACCCAGCCCAATACTTAGCCCATGCTTCTAGTAAATAACTCGTTTAATCAATGGGAAAATGCATAAATCAGGCATTATCTATCCCAAAATAAAAAATCAGGCCCCAAGTTTGAAAATTGCAAAAATTGGGTTTTTCATTAATTAATTAATTATATTTCACAATTTTGTTAAATTAAATACTTAATTGTAATATAATATAATTAACCCACCCTACCCCACCTCCACCACCCCCACTACTCCGGCGACCGGTGACTACTCCGACGATTGTTCCCCGACCGTGCTTTATTCCGGTGACTATTCCGCTGCCTTTTAATTTCGGCGACTACTCTGATTCCGACCGTTGTTAAGGTCACAGTTATATGCAGTTTGGTCACAAATATCTTATTAATTAGTGAAAAATTTATTTTTGGTCACAGGTTATGAAATTATTGGTTACAAACAGACTGTTTTTCGATCGCGAATCAAATTTTTACGGGTCACATTATTCATCGGTCACGAATCGAAAATCTTATTGGTCACAGCTCATTTAAACTTTTATTGGTCACAATTCCGATTACAACTTAATAAATTTGTGAGTCACAGTCACAATTTCTAGATCACATATTATTTATTTGTAAAAAATTAACCAATTATTAGTCACAGACACACGCCCCATCTCATCTCATCCCACCCACGACCAGCGCTACAAATTAAAAATTTTTACAGGTCACAAGTTGAAAAAATCGAAACTTTTATTGGTTACAACTCGATTACAACTTAAAACATTTTGGGTCACAGTCACAATTTGTAGGTCACATATTATTTATTTGTCAAAATTTATCCAATTATTGGTCACAGCCAACTAAATCATTGGTCATAGACACACCCCAATCTCATCTCATCCAACCACGACCACCGCCACGCACAAAAAAAATCACAGTCATCGAAATCCAACAAAACCACCGCCTCAAATCCCCCCAAAAAAATCCCAAAATCCGTCGGCACAACTACAACCGTCGTAAATCACAATCCACAAACTTCATCGAAGCTAAACCTAAACATTACTAATGCAGAATTTGTGTCACGCTTGCAGCATAAGCTATTGGATGAGAAACAAACGACTATTAATAAAAGAGCCATTGACAAAAATTATCACCTGAAGATGAAGGCCTCGCGATTCATATTCAGTGAGATAAATGAGAAATTTCCTATCATGCCATTTACAACGGCTGTTGGGAGACTAGTAAGATGAAATCCACCATCCACCAAATCCACCAGCATATGGGCTCTAGTGTGGCTGACCGCCATCACCAGTAAGGCTGCCGACTCTCCATCACATAGACCGTCGCAGATCCACCCCCATGGACTGCCATAGCCAAGCATCACACGTGAGCGCCGCTTCTATGCTGTTCGTTCCCTGCTGTTGCTCTCCGCGATGTGAGCGCTGCAGCGACATGAGTGCTGGGAGATGTTGCCTCCGGTGAGGTGTGTGACAAAGAGTGAAGGGATGAAAGAAAGAGACGGAAGAGAAAGAATATACGAAAAAGGGAGGAGGGTTTGGGTTTAGGATTGAAATTTGGTAGGGGTAGGTGGTATGGTGGGTATTTAAATTAATTTAATTAATATCATTATTAATATTAATTGTGAAATTAAAACCTGATTTTTTATTAAATAAGTTAAAACCTGTTTTTTAAAAACTTCAAACATAACGCCTGGTTTTACGTAATTTCCACTTAATCAAAACACCTATAAAAAAGGGTACTTAGCCTAATATTCCTTAATTAAAATAGGGAAAATTACACAAAAAAAAAACAGGTGTTTAAAGATCAGTTTTTATAAATCAGGTTTGGACTTTATTTATTCAATTTTCAGGTTTTTATTATTTTAATTAAATAATTAATCTTTTAATTAATTGACACGCATATCCCGTTATTTCAGGGTTTCAAATTTGTGAATATCCCAACTTCCATTATTATTCAAGCCCTATTTTCTCTAAAGCACTATCTCAACTCCACGTTATTCGTGCCCTATCTCCACTACTTTTCCAAATTCGAATGTTCTACAATCTCCATACTTCACACAAAATCAGTTGCATTCCCTTTTGTCTACGGTCTAAGAATCTACACTCAGCAACGATTAAGAATGGTGAAAACAAAGGATGAAAAGAAGGGGAAGAAGACGGTACGAAAGGATGAAAAGAAGGGAAGAAAATGGTGCAAACGCCAGGTCGAACAAACAAAAGGAAGAAAACGGCGAGTCCCAAGAAAAATCCAGTAACAAGTCCAAAATCGCATGGGTCAAGTAGCAATCAGTCGGGGAAGAAGGTAATTTCATTTTTTTGTTCGTTTATTGAATTTGTGAAAATTTATTTATTCTACCCGGTAGTATTGAAGGTAAATGTGTGTGCAACAATAACATGTATTTTTAAAGAAGAATAACAAGATAACACAGTTTTTGGAAACTGATTTTCAAAGTGGCATAATAAAATGTGAGTTGAGTGTATTATGTTATTTGTGGCTGTGACCTGTTTCATTTGGCATCTGTGACCTGAGTTGAGTGAGAAAATTGTGTTTTATTGTTTGTTTATTTCATTTGTGACCTGTTATTTGTTTGGGAAGGTTGGAGTTTTATATATGTTGGAAGTGTATTTTGACAAGGAGTATAATGAATCTGTGACTTGAGTGTATTATGTTATTTATGGTTGTGACCTCTTTCATTTGGCATCTGTGACCTGAGTTGAGTGAAAATTTTATGTTTTGTTGTTTGTTTATTTCATTTGTGGCCTGTTATTTGTTTGGGAAGGTTGGAGGTTTATATGTTGTAATTGTATTTTTGGAAGTGATTTTCACAAGCAGTGTAATGAATATGTGACCTGAGTGAATGATGTTATTTATGTCTGTGACCTCTGTCATTTTTCATCTGTGACCTGACATAAACTCGTGATACAGGTGTGGAAATTCATACTGCCACAACATAAATGATTCCCTGGAAAAATAACCACGTCCATGGCAAAGGGTGTTATCACCAACTTGAAGAAATGTCTGAGCGAAGCCCAACGAAGAATACTCATGGAAACATGCTTTGCGCATTTTATGGAGTGCATGACATAGTTGTTCAGTTACAATTAATTCACTACTTTCTTCTCAGACAGATGCATACACCAATGAAAATGAATTATGGTTTTGCATATTTGGGATATTTGTTAGGTTCTCTATGGTTGGCTTATGTTTAGTGTCCAGTCTGCGATGCGAGGGGAACTGTGACATAGATACACTTGAAAACAGTCCTTCAAGTTTGAAGGAAAAATATTTCAGCCAACTAAACATTGTCACATATGAAGATGTGAGGGATGCATTCATGTCGGCTAGCCAACTCCCAGAACAGGATGTTGTTGAAGTCATGATAGATGAAGATGTTGCAAAGCTTGGAGCTCTGTATNGATGGTGCAAAGCTTGGAGCTCTGTATTTCATTACATCCTTCATGTTCCTAAGAGATTACAAGAAGGTGGTTGATTATTATTTGTTTGTGATTTTTGAAGACTTTTCTGTGATAGACACATTTCCTTAGGGGAAGCTCCTGTTTGAAACTACTTTGAATGATATGAGAGATTGTTTGAGTAAGAGGACAAAGATGTTCGAAACCGCTACAGGCTTAGAGGTCTATTAATACCCTTTCAAGTCTAGATATACGAAACTATTCCTAGTCTTGCTGGAACTATTGTGACAAAGATGTTCATAACCTATCCTCGAATCATGAACTGGATGGCAAATGAGCACCATTCCACTGCTAAACTTGAAGGATTTGAATGCTTCTCAAACCGTGAGGTAATTATTTCAAATTTATGGAATTAATAGCGTATTAAGACTTTTATTGTTATTAAGAATTTTTTTTATTGTATTGCAAATTGGAATTTGTGACCTGGATCCCTCAGAGATTGAGATGAAAATGTTGTATATGAATGGGGCACAGTACATTAAACCAGTTCAAACAGATATTACACGCCATGGCCGGAGAAAGAATAGAAGGATGGAAAAAACGTCGACATCGGTCTGCCTGATAACTGATGGTAGCACTGGTCACGCTGTCGTAAATGAAGATGATGATGACTTTGATGATCCTCCACCGAGATGGCATGAGAAATATGCCCATGTAAACTTTCCAGTAGGTGAGGGTCCATCAACTGAACCTCATCATGCGTAGGAACCTCATTCAGATGTCCTACCGGCGGATGACGTAAGTTGTTATTGAGATTAATAACATGGAAGTACTAATTTGAATCAGATTTCTATCATATGTCACATGTAATTTAAATCAACGGTAGTCACAGATATGTGTGCACAAGTCACATGTTCATGAACATTAGTCACGAATGATTTATTTTCAAGTCATCATAATCAAGTCACATACATTACTGGACACAACACAATTTCACTTGCATTGTCAAAGTAATGTCTGTCAACTATCGTATTATATAATTTCTATATAATGGATTTATTGTACACACGTTGAAGGCGGTCGAGGGCTTGAGGAAAGAACTGATGGTGCAAATATCTTAGCTTCTTTCAAACAACGAGGTCTTGAACGTTCAGATGGATGAGATGAGATCACATTTGTTATCTGTACAGGGTGAACAAATACGGAAAATGAATGACATTGTCCAAATGCAGACTGGGATTAGAAGTGTCATGATAGACATTAGGACAAACATGTAGTTTCTGCCCAAGTCTGTATTTGCGTTGATTTCTAGTACGATGGAAGAGATTTTAAAAAACTCAGTGAAAGATCCAAAGATGATCAAGAAGGTCATGTGGAAATGTCTGATACGCCTGATGAAGAAAGTTGACTTGGTTTCATTTTAAATTTCATATTTGCTCTAATTTCAGGCTGAAGATGTGGGACCGAGTTTGGACAGGAAAGGTAAGAGTAAGATAGTTCCTGATGACGATCCTGAGATCCAACTCAATATTCAACCTTCGTCGTTCGATTTAGGTCACATTGGATATACACAACCTAAGTTGCATACTCCGATTGAATACAAAACAATTCAGCAATGGGTTGACTCTGTCATAGCTGAAGTTGTCCAGGACACAAAAAGGACAGAGCCAGAGGTATTAGGTCACAGATTCACACTATTCTTTATATAATCCATGCAGGCCACGAATGTTAGTTGGTAATAGGTCACAAGTTCCATGCAGGACACAGATGTTAATCTGTATTAGGTCACGAGTCACATACTGATCACATGTGTAGTAGTAAACCAATAATAAGCTGCTATATTTATAGTTCCAACAATATGCAGGTATCCCCGGTGTCTGAACCAAGTTCAGGATTACCAATTAAGAGAGTTTCCAGACCAGCGAGGATACTACGATCTCCATTTATCATTGATGAAGGAAAATGACTCAAAAAGTCTGAGAATGATATGGTATTCGAAGATTATAACTGTAATGCTGAAGATGCCAATATTTCTACATTCCAGAGTTGGTTCCAGGGAGGATACAAATCGAAAAATAAGTAAATTCAAATTCTACTACTAAAGTTGTTTAATAAATCTTTGTTTTAAATTTCTTATAGTTCGTATAACATTCACAGGAAAAAGTTCAATGATGCCGATGATCGTATCAGTCCCCCATTTCTATTTGGTTTGTTTAAAGTTGGAAGTAAAACGTGGTTTCATGAGTTTGTGAATTTTGAGTCCTCACTGAACAGCACGGTATGAGTTTTTAAATCTTTACTCACAGAAGATGAAACACAAGTCACACATGTTTTACATTGGTCAATTATATGAGGTTACGGATCATAATATAGGTTACAGTTCAGTTCTCAGGTTAAAATCGATAATATTTTCTTTTCTTTTACCACAGCACATAGACATGTGTTTATACTACATCCGCCAATTGGCAAGGCATGGGAAAAATGTCAAATTGAAAGCAACTGATAAGTGTAATTTTTACACTTATTCGGGGCCTAAAATAACGACATTTGAGAGTTCTTTTGATAAAATATATTCTAAATTGTTGTATTTTACTGAGACTGTCCCTACCACTACCCTTTATCAAGCATGTTTATAAGAGTTCTGGCTTTCCCAAATTCTGAGAAATTTAATAGATTTCGTACTCCCCTATTATATACGGTCATTGTCTTGCTACTCTTACTTTCACTTATTATTTCTCTATGGGACTTGTTCTCTCTTCAACTCAGTACTTTATAGATAGGCATTTGGATTGATAATGAGTTTTTAGGTGGAAAGGTCCTACCTTACCTTTCAAAAAAAAGGTAGCCGAGTCGAAGGAGCTCTCAAAATAGATTTTGAGTACCACGTAAAAAAACTAGCTGGATAAACAAGACATGGATCACCCGTTCGTCAATGCTACTTGTGGAAGAGACAAAATACTTTAATATAACAATAGAAACTCATACTCTAAAGCTTTCTTGATATCTAACAAGATTACTAATGAAGAGTTGGGTGAACATTGTTCTGACACATAGCTCTGAGATGACTAGCATGAATAAGCCAGCTTCAATACTCTAATTAGTGTTTTTTCTGTGAAACAAATCCAAGCCTTTTATGCCTTCCATCCCGTATTTCCCTGCTTGAGGCTCTTTTTATTAGCCTAGTCATGAACCCCCTGGTAGGAGCCAAGGTCTACCCAGCTGTGCTTCATATCCTCCATCTTTTTATTAGCCTAGTCATGAACCACCTAGTTGGAGCCATGGTCTACCTAGTAGTGCTTCATATTCTCCTTGCTCTTTGTCTAAGATTAAACTAAATGTACAAAAGCAGGCATCCTTTTTTTTTCCTTTGGGCTAAAAAGCCCATAGGTTGTACGCCAGCCATACGTAGCTCGAATTGTGATGGCTACGATGCTTAGCTATTGCCGATCCCCAATACGCCTTGGTTGAATGTTCATACGTAATTCACTGTCTACACTTCCTACATTCACTCCTGAAAATAGAAAAAGGAAAATAGGAATTGTAACATTCTGGTCTGCTGTAGTCTACCTCACGCTGTGCCTGACTGGCGAGTCTATCGTCTCCGCGGCTTTCCCTTTTTTCAGGTTGTTCTTCAAGCCTTCGAGTGATGATCTTCGCTTAGGCCAGCTCTGAGGCTCTACTCTAGCTATTCATTGGTTTCTCCCAAGGGCCTTTATTGTATCGCACGCGCATCTTCAAGCAATCGAAGGAGGCGTCGAATACATAGACAAGGCGATCTCGGGAATGAAAGTTCATTCCCTCGTGCTCTGGAACTCATTTGAACAAAAAGGCTCAATCTTGTAAAACCATAGGGCAAGCGAAACCTGGCAGCCTACCTAGAGTTTTTCCTTCTCCGATCCTAGTTAGTAATATATCCTTTCCTTCAGCAGGCAATAATACTGGGAAGAAGATGATAAGGATCTCACTATGGTAGCTGTTGGAACAAACTCTGAATCTAAGAAGAAGCGACCTAGAGAAAAAGGAAACACGCTACTCAATCGTGAACGATGAGAGAAAAGACCAATTGAAGTACCCACTGGTCCCTAGATGCATTTAGATACTTCCTTAAGCTACTCCCAAAGACATCTCCTCTCAGATATTAGATTTGAGGTCTTTTATCTCGTCCGAGGCAGAAAAAAATGTTTCTAATTTCTTTTGTCCCAGCAACTACAAGATAAAGCCTGATCAGATCTCTAAATCTCGTTAATGTCTATAGTTTTCTTTCAGATCAGCCAAATTATGTCATTCTCGGCTTCTTATTCTCCACGGTAAGGGCTTTACTACAATCCTTTCCCAAGCATCTGGTAATTCTAGCCGCCTTTCCATGCCTCACTTTGGTTTCTATTCATGAAACATATTTCAGATTAAAATCACCACAAGTGTACGGTTCACTAACAAGTAATAAAGTGAACTTATTGATTAATTATGCAATAATGAATGATTTAATTAAACTGAATGCAAATAGCGTTGAATGTAATTTGAAGTTTTTTAGTTTATGATGAATGTACTAGGATCACGAATCTCTAAGTAATAATCTTTTTAAATCTAATTTTACACTTTAACACATGATTCAATATATTGACGACTCAATGCTCATAATTTTTTTAACAGTATCTCTCGAGTTAAGTCAAACATATTCTCATATGTGACCCGATTATATCACTATGACGAATGCGAATATACACTAATCCATGAGTTTTTGTGAACACTTAGCGATTCACGTGGGGCATAGCAGTATATTTTGTCCCCTATCAGACCATATGATGATTTATACCGCATCGAACCTATTTCCTTTCTTTCGAATAAATGAAATAAATCACCACTCACCGTCACGCGTTTTCCACAATGTGAATTATGCCGCAAGTGTACGGTATCAAATTTTGTAATATAATGATTGAGTTAAGAGTGTCGAACCCACAGGGATTGTAATCCAAGTTCTACCAAGTATTATAATTGTTTCAAATTTTACTTTATCTAGACGAAAAAAATATCAATTCAAGGATTTTATCCTAAACTAATATGAATGTGTAATAATGCA